CGAGGGAGGCTTTTATGTGCTCCCATCTCTTGCTCCCGGCCGCTCCGCGGTCTCTTAGATGGCCCGAGGACGATCTCCGAGTGTCCGTGATTTAGGAAAGAACTGTTAAAGGGCTGCCTTCTTTTCTCCAAATGTGATCTGGATTCTTGTCTCGGGGAACAGTTGTGCTACAGAGAGATATTTTAACGCCCTGATAATATATTTCAGTGTCAATTTTACGAATTAAAAAGAACAATTAAAACAGTAGTGGAGAAAAGCTCAAGAATTACCTAGCAATTGCATAACCTGAGAATTACTTCTTTTCTTGAATGTGTTCTTTGAGCTTCTTGCAGAAGAAATTCTCTTAGTATGGGTCTTCCCAGACAGAAGACACGTATTTGGTTTTCTGTGTGCTTCACTTTTTGGTTTTTCTTCTTGGACTGCGCACTGAATTTTTAAAAAACGTTCATCCAACAAATATTTTTTGAGCACCTATGGGGTGACGGTTTCCTCTGGGCAGAAGAAATATGAAATTCCTTCGGAATGTAAAACTCTTCAAGGCATATAAAAAAAGAAAAGAGGAATGTAAAACTCAAATTTGAGGTAAAATTTTAAGACAAACTGATAAACGGTCAAGAAAAAGATTTCAAATATCGACATTAAAAAAAGATGTTTTTCTCCCACTAAATTGCCAAGACTTTGTACTCATTAAGTCCACTAAATTGTATTCAAAAAGTATGTATAACTGTGCCATTTTTTGAAAATATTGTACGGAAAATAGTTTGGGAGAATATGTAGCAAATAATTAACTGTAGATCCCTCTGGGTGTGAAGATTACAGGAGGCTTTCACTTTGAGCACTCTCAAGTATGGTAATGTTTGAATTTTTTGCGATAAGCATTATGTTTTCAGAAAAAATTAAAATACATAAACTCGTAAACAAAAATGAAAAAACGATCAGTTTTAATCATGCAAATTAAAACTGCGGTGAGCTATTTTTCCTAATAATTATTGCCTGAGACTGTACAGTGAAATGTTTTCTCATTTACACTCATGGGATAAGAGTATTCATTCCTTTTGGAAAGAGATTTTATGACATCAGATCTTAATGTTCATTTCTGAGTTTGGCTTATATATAAGTTTTAAAAGGATTACAATTGTGTGTAGGCCGGGCACCGTGGCTCATGCCTGTAATCCCAATACTTTGGGAGGCTGAGGTGGGTGGATCACCTGAGGTCTGGAGTTTGAGACCCCGTCTCTACTAAAAATACAAGATTAGCCAGGCATAGTTGGCACATGCCTGCCTGTAATCCCAGACTACTCGGAAAGCTGAGGCAGGAGAATTGCTTGAACCTAGGAAGCAGAGGTTGCCATGAGCTGAGATTGTACTGCTGCACTCCAGCCTGGGCAACAAAAGGGAAACCCCATTTCAAAAAAGAAATTGTATGTAATGTGTATTATAGCCATATATTACATATGTTTGAAGATACTGGAAATAAATAGAGCAAAAATATAAGAGGCATTATTAACTTTCTCAAAAGGCTCTTCTGAACCTCTGGACTTGATTGAGACCCAGTCATATTTTTCATAGCATCCTGTACCTCCTTTTGAGTAAATTGTTAAGGCCAGTTAGAGCAGCAGTCATGTCTGCTGTATCTTGTTTACTATCTCTCCTTCACACCTAGCTCATAAAAATTTTTAGTATTTGACATATAAATAAAAACGTTTGGTGGTGGGATTAAGATCCCTCACATTTTCGAAATATTTGGAATGTTTTATTTTGCAACTTTATACAATTTAAGAAATTGGAGAAAAGAGAGCTCATGGACAAAGAACGTGCTGAAACCATTCTTTGCTTAGAAAATTGACAGTGCCTCCTTAAAGCAGAAATGTATTTGGTTGTCACATAGAAAAGACTTTTGTCCAATCTTACGTCTTTCTTTCAGCAACCAAGAGCGGGAGGTAGCTATTCAGAAATTCTTATCTTTCTGATTTTTGTTTCATTTAGTGAATACCAGGGCCTGGTGAAGCACACAGGAGGCTGCCACTGTGGAGCAGTTCGTTTTGAAGTTTGGGCCTCAGCAGACTTGCATATACTTGACTGCAAGTGAGTTTTTTCTTAACTTGGCTTAAAAGAATTTCAGAATTAAAATGCAATACTTCAAAATAATCTGGGAGTTGAGGTACAGAGAAATACTGGCCTTAGGCTGGTAACTGCTGAAGTCAGGTAATGGGACAGAAAGGTTCATTGTTCTATTCTTTCTCCTTCTGTATGGCTCACCACAGACCTTCAACAGCACAGCCCAGGTGACACAGAGCAGGGTCCTCAGGGCTTGTGGCTGGCAGCGTCACCCTCAGACAGATACTGCTGAGGAGCTGGGGGTGGTTAGCTGCAGAAGTGCCTGGCTGGGTACTGAGTGGAAGGCCTTGGGCAGAATCTTCGCAGAAGTCCAGAGTTGGGGAGAGCTGGAGGGTGCTTTAGTGAAGAATGTGTACATCTGGACACTCCCTAGGGTCTGCGCTCTCGCTCTGCTCTTCCATTGGGGCAGATGGTGCTGCTGGCTGTGGAGGGCCTGATTTGTACCACCTTCCCTGGCATTATGATGGAGTAGGGACGACAGGCTCTGGCTTTGGGACCCTTAGTTGGCATGCAGCTAATTATTTAACAGCATCCAGATCTTTTTGCCCCTAGGTACCAGAATTATATATGAATAATAAGCACATACGATGGAATTACTCAAATGGAGAACTTAGCAGGCTACTAACAATAGAATCTAGATTGGAAAAGAAGCACTGTGGAATAACTTGTGAGAGGATTCTATACTAAATTAGAACTTTTTCAAAGGTGACCTGAAAAGAGGGGACTTCCATTTAATTCCAGAGGTGGTAATTCTGGGGACATGTTTTACTTGGAGCTGGACTTTCTGTGACGTGGTCATGAAGAACGAGGGAAACCTAAACTTCCTTGTCCATTTTTGGTGTGGATGTCTCAGAGACATCAGGTTGTAGCAGTGTCTGAAATTTGTTTTCTAAGTGTCTCTGAAGTCCAGTGCTTCTCTTCACTGTAAAGAACTGGGAGGTGGGCAGCACAGACGTGTCTGTTGGCCCTGTATTCTGAACTTTGCAGGTCCTTGACTGCCGACTTGGGACCCCCCCGGGCTCTGCTGTACCTGCAAACCAGAGGCAGCTCCTCGGCCCTGGAGGGAACTAAAAGGGACTTCGCAGCTGACTCTGAAAACGTATCAGGCTGGGCTGCTCAGGCAAAGAGGACACAGTTGAATGTTTAAAATCTGGAATTTGCTCTGTCTTTCTATAGCTGCAGCATTTGCAAGAAGAAGCAGAATAGGCACTTCATCGTTCCAGCTTCTCACTTCAAGCTCCTGAAGGTCAGTGCTTAAGAGCAGAGTCAAGGAGTGCAGAACCGATTGGTGAGATTTACGACATTGGCCATGGGCTGTGAGAAACAAACCAAAGCCTGTGAGAAGCCCCAATATGCTTCCCTTGCATGCTACAGACCCTTTCAGGTTGACTTTTCAAAGGTTGTGGGCTAGGCACAGTGGCTAATGCCTGCAATTCCAGCACTTTGGGAGGCTGAGGCAGATGGATCATGAAGTCAAGAGATTGAGACCATCTTGGCCAACATAGTGAAACCCTGTCTCTTCTTAAAAATATAGAAATTAGCTGGGCGTGGTGGCACATGCCTGTAATCCCAGCTACTCGGGAGACCAAGGCAGGAGAGACGCTTGAACCCGGTAGGCGGAGGCTGCAGTGAGCCAAGATCACACCATTGCACTTCAGCCTGGGTGACAAGAACAAAACTCCATCTCAAAAAAAATAAAAGGTTGTGTTATTTTTCACTTTTATTTTTTGGAGGCCTATTTGATATTATGGAAACAAATCACCCAAATCCTATCAACCAAAGGTAACCATGCTTTTTTTTTTTTGAGATGGAGTTTCGCTTTTATTGCCCAGGCTGGAGTGCAGTGGCGTGATATCAACTCACCGCAACCTCCGCCTCCCGGGTTCAAGCGATTCTTCTGCTTTAGTCTCCCAAATAGCTGGGATTACAGGCATGTGCCACCATACCTGGCTAATTTTTGAATTTTTAGTAGAGATAGAGTTTCTCCCTGTTCGTCAGGCTAGTCTCAAACTCCTGATCTCAGGTGATCCGCCCGCCTTGGCCTCCCAAAGTGCTGGGATTACAGGTATGAGCCACTGCACCTGGCCTATATACTTACTTTTAACGTGAATTTTATTATTTTGGGGAATTCTTTGTACTTGATACAAAATTCGAAAGGTAGAAGACAGTGTGTATATACACAGTGAAAAGTCTTTCCCCACTGTCCCCATGCCCCAGTCTTCCTCTTCCCCACAGCTGATTTCCTGGTTTACTTATCCCATCACTGTCTGCATCATTGCACTTCTTGGGTGAATCCAGTTTTTTTCTTTTTTTGAGACGGAGTTTCGCTCTTGTTTACCCAGGCTGGAGTGCAATGGCGCAATCTCGGCTCATGGCAACCTCTGCCTCCTGGGTTCAGGCAATTCTCCTGCCTCAGCCTCCCGAGTAGCCGGGATTACAGGCACACGCCACCATGCCCAGCTAAGTTTTTGTATTTTTAGTAGAGACGGGGTTTCACCATGTTGACCAGGATGGTCTCGATCTCTTGACCTCGTGATCCACCTGCCTCGGCCTCCCAAAGTGCTGGGATTACAGGTGTGAGCCACCACGCCCAGCAGAGTCCAGTTTTTTTCTGATTATAAATGACATTGTGGGGCCAGCGGGTGGACCACGAGGTCAAGAGATCGAGACCATCCTGGTCAACATGGTGAAACCCCGTCTCTACTAAAAATACAAAAAAATTAGCTGGGCGTGGTGGTGCATGCCTATAATCCCAGTTACTCGGGAGGCTGAGGCAGGAGAATTGCCTGAACCCAGGAGGCGGAGGTTGTGGTGAGCCGAGATCACGCCATTGCACTCCAGCCTGGGTAACAAGAGCGAAACTCCGTCTCAAAAAAAAATAATGACATTGTGGTGAACCTCCTTGTTACAGATTTTTGACAATTTAGAAATTTCTTCCTTAGGATCAATTCTCTTAGAAATAAGTTCTCTGGCAACTCTGGGCACACTTCCTATATCCTGCTCCACAAGGAGCAGTGGGGGAAAAAAAAAGGCCGGGCATGGTGGCTCACGCCTGTAATCCCAGCACTTTGGGAGGCCGGTGGATCATGAGGTTGGGAGTTCAGGACTCAAGATCAGCCTGGCCAATATGGTGAAACCCTGTCTCAACTAATAACACAAAAATTAGCCTTGTGTGGTGGTTCTTGCCTGTAATCCCAGCTATTCAGGAGGCTGAAGCAGGAGAATAGCTTGAACCTGGGAGGCGGAGGTTGCAGTGAGCCAAGATCGTGCCACTGCACTCTAGCCTGGGCAACAGAGCAAGACTCCCTCTCAAAAAAAAAAAAAAAAAAAAAAAGGAAAGAAAATCTCTGAGTTAAAGATTACAGATTTTTTAAAAAAGACTTTTAGCACATTATGGGTAATGTGAGGTTGGGCAGGATTTTAATTCTATCCAGATATTGCTGGATGACTTGGGACCACTTGGCAGTCCTTTGCTTCTCCTCTGTACTGCAGTGGCTGTGGCATGAGCAAGGCTCCTCAGGGAGCTGTTTCTATAGGAAGCACAATTCTGGATGGTATGCTAGTGGCTGGATAAGTGTAAAGAAGTTTAACAATAAGAAACCTCCATCCCCTCCCGTTCAGCTGTCTAATTTCTCTCCCTAAAGGTAAACCACTGTTTCTTGGATCCCTTTTCAAAGATGCATACGCATATAAAAGCACATACAGGCCAGGCACGGTGGCCCATGCCTATAGTCCCAGCACTTTGGAGGGCCAAGGCAGGCAGATCGCTTGAGCCCAGGAGTTCAGCACCAGCCTGGGCCACATAGTGAGACACCATGTCTACAAAAATTAAAAAATCAGCTAGGTGTGGTGTTGCATACCTATATTCCCAGCTACCAGTGGTGGGGGCGGGGTGGGAGATCACTTGAACCTGGGAGGTCAAGGCTGCAGTAAGGTGTGATTATACCATCATACTCCAGTAACAGAGACCTTGTCTCAAAAAAAAAAACCAAAACCACACATAACAGTATGTTGCCTTAAAAAAAAAAAGAGAGAGAGAGAAAGAGAGCGAGCCAGGCGCGGTGGCTCACGCCTGTAATCCTAGCACTTTAGGAGGCCGAGGCGGGCGGATCATGAGGTCAAGAGATCGAGACCATTCTGGCCAACATGGTGAAACCCCGTCTATTAAAAAAATTAAAAGAAAATAAAAAGAAAAAGAAAGAAAGGGTAATATACACTACATACGTTGTTTTACACTTTAATTTTTTGTTTGAGATAGAGTCTCACTTTGTCACCCAGGCTGGAGTGCAGTGGTGTGATCTCAGCTCACTGCAACCTCTGCCACCCAGGCTCAAGTGATTCTCCTGCCTCAGCCTCCCTATTAGCTGGGACTACAGGTGCCCATCACCACACCTGGCTAGTTTTTATATTTTTAGTAGAGATGAGGTTTCACCATGTTGGCCGAGCTGGTCTCAAACTCCTGACCTCAAGTGATCTGCCCACCTCCGCCACCCAAAGTGGTGGGATTACAGGCATGAGCCACTGCGCCTGGCCTATACCTTGCTTAACTTTGTAACCTTGGCAATTGTCCCACGTTAGTATTTGTAGAGCTGTCTCATTCTTCTCAAAAGTTGGAGAGTATTCCATTTTATGAATGTTCATAATGCCTAACCTGTCCTCTATTGATGGACATTTAAAATTTTTCCAATCTTGAGCTTTTATAAACAGTGCTGTAGTATCTATATGCCTATGTCATTGAGACATTTGACATATCTGTAACATAAATTTCAGGAAATGGAATTGTATGCTAAAGGATAAGTACACTACACTTTAAATTTTTGGTAGATGTTGCTAAATTTTGCCAGTTCCTATTCCTGTGACTGATATATGTGAACACATTTCTCTACATACTTGTCAATACTGTGTTAACAGCTTTGATTTTGCCCGCTTGATAGTGAAATACATCTCATTGCAGTTCATATGGGTGAGCATTTCATAGGCTAAAAAACTGATTTATTTTTCTTTTTATCTGAACTGTCTTTTCATGTCCTTTGTGTAGTCTCCTATTTGTATTATCCATTAAGGAGATTAGCCTGTCTATGATGTCTCCCAAATATTTTTTTCCTGGTTTGTCCTTTGTGGATAAATTAAGAACAGCCAATGGTTTTCTTAAGACCTTGAGCCGTGCTGTTTGGGGACATGGAGAGCCAGTCCCTTGGGTGAACTGTCTCTCCATGTAGGCCCCGGGAAGCAAGCATTTTCCCTCCCTGATGTGATAGATCAGGGAAGACTCAAGACTGAATTCTGTGTGCAGTTGACCTAAGGGAAGTTAGTTGTGAGCTGTCATGGTCCAGACTGACGTGGATAGTGTAGATGGGTCTCTGTCTTCAAGAAGGTCCCAGTCTTTTACAGGAGATAGGAAATGGCCTCATAATAATAAGAGCCCTACAAAAGGGCTCCCCTTGTTAAGTTTTTTAAAGATTTTTTTTAAATGGTACGATCTCAGCTCACTGCAGCCTCCACCTCTCCAGGCTCAACTGATCCTCCCACCTCACCTCCTGAGTAGCTGGGACTACAGAGGTGTGCCAGTGTACCTGGTTAATTTTTGTATTATTTGTAGAAACAGTGTTGCCCAGGTTGGTCTTGAACTCCTGGGCTCAAGTGATCTGCCCACCTCAGCCTTTCAACGTATTGGGAAATCTCTTTGTGGGTGGACACAGTGGCTCACGCCTGTAATCCCAGCACTTTGGGAGGTTGATGCAGGAAATCATGAGGTCAGGAATTCAAAACCAGCCTGGTCAACATAGTGAAACCCCGTCTCTACTAAAAATACAAAAAATTAGCAGGTTGTGATGGTGGGCGCCTGTAATCCCAGCTACTCAGGAGGCTGAGGAAAGAGAATCGCTTGAACTTGGGAGGCGGAGGTTGCAGTAAGCTGAGATTGTGCCACTGCGCTCCAGCCTGGGCAACAGTGGGAGACTCCACCTCAAAATAAATAAGTAAATAAATCTCTGTAAAAAGAGAACACCTGTTTGTCTGTTTTCACCTAGGGAGCTGAGCACATAACAACTTACACGTTCAATACGCACAAAGCCCAGCATACCTTCTGTAAGAGATGTGGCGTTCAGAGCTTCTATACTCCACGCTCCAACCCTGGAGGCTTCGGTGAGTAAAGGGGATGGACTGCGAGCTCAGGAGGACACAGAGACAGAGAGGCCCATGGTGCTCTCACTTAAAGTCTTGGTTGGACAGGTGGGTCACTGACTAGACCCTGTCACATGCGTATCTTAGAGGAACAGCACTCCTCAGCAGAACACTCTCCACATGATGGAGTGTGAGTCGGGCTCTGGTGAAGCCTGTCTGAATTCCGTATCTTAACGTGGTGAAGTTGGACTTGGAGGCCATCCAGGTTCTGATTCTCATTCACCACTGCTGCCAGAGCTGGTGTTGCTGGGGATGGTGTTGAAGGGTAGGAAGTAGAGGGGTGGGCAGATGGGCTTGTGGGGCCAGGGAAGGCAGCTTTAATAATGACAGGGGTTAAGGGAGTGAAGGAGGCAAGTTCAGGGAGCATTGATAATGCCATTTAAAAGCTTTTTGGTTGTTCAAAAAACAAGCAGGACTGGCTGGTCGCAGAGGCTCACACCTGTATCCCAGCACTTTGGGAGGCCAAGGTGGGAAGATTGAGCTCAGGAGTTTGAGACCAGCCTGGGAAACATAGCGAGACCCCATCTCTGTTCTTTTTAACGAATAATAAACATCTACTAAAAATACAAAGTCAGCCAGGCATGATGGTACATGGCTGTAATCCCACCAACTTGGGAGTCTGAGGCAGGAGAACTGCTTGAATCCGGGAGGTGGTGAGCCAAGATCATGCCATTGCACTCCAGCCTGGGCGATAACAGCAAAGAAATGCCATCTCAAAAAAGAAAGTTATCTATCTAAACACAAGAAAGGCCTATGAATTCTTTAGGCTGCCAGTCAGAGATTGCTCGGGCTGCTCTTTTCTGCACGTTGCACTCCCAACTTGGTGTTGAATGATGTCTAGCATTGGCCATCCCTGGTTCAAGGAGTGTGACTCCCATCTGGCAGCTGAGGAAAGTGAGCTAGAGAACTGAATCTGCAGGCTGGAGCCAGTGCTTTCCGAGCCAGCCGGCAGCCTGTGGGTCTCATTGCTGAAGCCATAAGCTGTGGCATATCCTTTGGAAGCCCTAATGTGTAGCATGATGATGCCTGCAGGTGGGGGCTCATCCAAGAGCTAGTACTGCATCTGGTCTCACTATACTGGGGATCCCCCTTTGTGCCACTTTCTCCTAGGAATCGCCCCCCACTGCCTGGATGAGGGCACTGTGCAGAGTATGGTCACAGAGGAATTCAATGGCAGCAACTGGGAGAAGGCCATGAAGGAGCACAAGACCATCAAGAACATGTCTAAAGAGTGAGCTTCTGCCTCTTCTGTCCTGAAAAGGAGGAATGATTGGGGCCAGCAACTTTGCTTTCCCTGCCGTGCCTTGGTGGTGCTCCTGAATGTGGCTGACCTGGAATGCTGGTTCCGTTCATCAGGGCCATCTTGATCTCTGCAGTTTGCTCCAGCTCCCAGTTTCTTTAGGCAGCTCTTTGTCCTCCCTCTGCCCAAATTTTGATGTAGTCTAGTTGACATCCTTCTCTTCCCAACTTTTGTGTGATCTTTTAGGAAAAAAAATATAATATTTTTAAGATTAAAGCAGTTACTGTGGTTTATCATTTCTTTTCTACTGTGATTTGCTTCTGAGACCAGTCTATTAACAGCAGATATGTACTCAGCACTATGAAGATTTTTGCAAACAGGCATCTCGGCTTAAGCCTGTAGTCCCAGCTATTCTGTAGGGTTGATTGAGCCCAGGAGGTTGAGGTTGCAGTGAACTATGTTAGTGTTACTGCACTCCAGTCTGAATGAAACTATCTCAAAAAAAAGAAATGACAGAATGAAACTATCTCAAAAAAAAAGAAAAAAAAAATTTGTAGCTAAATTGGAAAGAAGACATAAGACAACAATTATTAAAAATGGAAGGTTGGCCGGGCACGGTGGCTCACGCCTGTAATCCCAGCACTTTGGGAAGCCGAGGCAGGCAGATCACGAAGTCAAGAGATCAAGACCATCCTGGCCAATATGGTGAAACCCCGTCTCTACTAAAAATACAAAAATTAGCTGGGCATGGTGGTGTATGCCTGTAGTCCTAGCTACTTGGGAGGCTGAGGCAGGAAAATTGCTTGAACTCGGGAAGTGGAGGTTGCAGTGAGCTGAGATATCACCACTGCACTCCAGCCTGGTGCCTGGTGACAGTGTGAGACTGTCTGAAAAAGAAAAAGGTTACGGCCAGGCATGGTGGTTCACTCTAATCCCAGCATTTTGGGAGGCTGAGGTGGGTGGTTTACTTGAGGTCAGGAGTTCAAGATCAGCCTGGCCAATGTGGTGAGACCCCCGTCTCTTCTAAAATTGCAAAACTTAGCTGTGCATGGTTGTATGTACCTATAGTCCCAGCTACTTGGGAGGCTGAGGCAGGAGAATCACTTAAGCCCGAGAGGCAGAGGTTGCAGTGAGCTAAGGTCGCACCAGTGTACTCCACCCTGGGCAACAGAGACTCCATTTCAAAAAAAAAACATATATATATATATACACACACACACACACACATATATGTATATATACACATATATGATTGTGAATGTTACAATCCATGTGCGCTTTAAAGATAAGAGCTCTAGGAGTTCAGAGAATGCAGAAGCCTTGAGAGTATGACTTGAGTCTATCTTTAAAAAGTGAAATCAGCTTCTAATTTCTTTTTTTAAATTTTATTTTAATTTTAATTATTTATAAAGACAGGGTTTCACCATGTTGGTCAGGCTGGTCTTGAACTCCCAACCTCAGTTGATCTGCCTGCCTTGGCCTCCAAAGTGGTTGGATTTCAGGCGTGAGCCACCACGCCCGGGCCTAATTTCTTTTAAGTTGTAAAGTACACATAAAATTTACCATCAACTGCTAATTTGTTTAGAGAGAGAGTCTCCCTATTTATTTTGAGACAGGGCCTTGCTGTGTCACCCAGGCTGGAATGCAGTCCATGAACACGGCTCACTGTAGCCTTGGCTTGGACTTGAGATCCCCCACCTTAGCTTCTGGAGTAGCTGGGACTACAGGTTTGTGCCACCACACCTGGCTAATATTTTTCATAGAGACAAGGTCACTCCATGTTCAGGCTGGGCTCAAGCAGTCCTCCTGCCTCGGCCTCCCAAAGTGTTGTGATTACAGACATGGACCACTGCACTCAGCCTTAGCCATTTTGAAGTATACAATTCAGCACTGTTAAGTACAATCACATTGTACAACCATCACTGCCATCCATCTCCAGAACTCTTCATCTTGCAAAACTGAAATTCTGTACCCATGAAACAACTTTGATCCTATTTTTAAAGGAAGCAAGATTTAAGGTGACAGAGGGGAGGAGTGACTGAACAGAGGTACACACATGCAAAAGCCACACTGAAGCTGCATGTAGTGGCACACACCTGTAGTCCCAGCTACTCAGGAAGCTGAGGACTGTATGAGCCCAGGAGTTTTGAGACTGCAGTGGGTTATGATGGTGTCATGCATTCCACCCTGGGAGACATAGCCAGACCCCATCTAATTTAAATAAAAAAAAAAAAAAGCTGGGTGCGGTGGCTTAAGCCTGTAATCCCAGCACTTTGGGAGGCCGAGGCAGGCAGATCATGAGGTCAAGAGATCAAGACCATCCTGGCCAACATGGTCAAAAACACATCTCTACTAAAAATACAAAAATTAGTTGGGTGTGGTGGCAAGCGCCTGCAATCCCAGCTACTCAGGAGGCTGAGGCAGGAGAATCCCATGAACCTGGGAGCGGAGGTTGCAGTGAGCCAAGATCGCACCACTGCACTCCAGCCTGGCTACAGAGTGAGACTCCATCTCAAAAAAAAAAAAAAAGGCTGAATTGGAGGCTTTTAATGGGAAGAAGTAATGAAGAAATCAGAAAGGTCTGTTGAGAACAGAAAGGTATGTTAACTTTCCTCAAACCTTCGTGCCATTACCAAATAGCACAAATAATGGCAAATGCTTAATAAATATTTTTTTCTTTAGGAAAATTAATCATGAAATGATTTGTGAGATAGACTAGACAAGGAAAAACAACAGGGAGAAGAAATAAAGATCTCAAAACAAAGGTCTCTGAGGAAAAAAAAAATTTTAAAAGACCAAGTGCAGTGGATCACACCTGTAATCCCAGCACTCTAGGAGGCTGAGGTGGGTGGATCACCTGAGGTCAGGAGTTTGAGACCAGCCTGTCCAACGTGGTGAAACCCTGTCTCTACTAAAAATACAAAAATTAGCTAGGTGTGGTGGCAGGCCCCTGTAATCCCAGCTACTTGGAAGGCTAAAGCAGGAGAATTGCTTGAGCCTAGGTGGCAGAGGTTGCAGTGGGCTGAGATGGTGCCATTGCACACCAGTCTGGGTGATAGCGAGACTCCGTCTCAAAAACAAAAACAAACAAAAAAACAAATACAGATGGCCAGGCAGGCATAGTGGCTCATATCTGTTAATACAGCACTATGGGAGGCTGAGGCAGAAGGATCACTTGAGCCCAGGAGTTCAGGACCAGCCTGGGCAATATAGTGAGACCCCCCTCTCTACAAAAAACAATAAAATACAATAAAAATGGCCAGTTTCTCAGTTTGCTGTGCTGGGGTTCTGTGTGGTCACTGCCTCTTCAGAATCACTGATAGCCAAGTTCACTCCACAAGACTGGAAGAAGCACTCACAAGGATGGAGTTTTTGGGACCAGAACTCCAGGTATTCTTCATATATATATATATATATATATATATACACACACACACACATAAAAAACATAAAATAATATATATAATATAGATTATAAAAATACATATTATATAATAAAATATAATGTATTATATTATATACATAATAAAAATATACTTTTTTAGAGATATATGGTCATGGCTCACTGTAACCTTGAACTTCTTACTTCAAGCAATCCTACCACAGCCTACAGGTGTGTGCCACCACACCCAGCCTATTTTTTTTAATTTTAAAATTATACAGGGGCCAGGCAGGGTGGCTCACACCTGTATTCCCAGCACTTTGGGAGAACATGGCAAAATCCTGTTATCTACTAAAAATACAAAAACTCAGGCTGGACATGGTGGCTCACGCCTGTAATCCCAGCACTTTGGGAGGCCAAGACAGGTGGATTACCTGAGGTCAGGAGTTCAAGACCAGCCTGACCTACATGATGAAGCCCCGTCTCTACTAAAAATACAAAAATTAGCCAGGCGTGGTAGCATACACCCTTAGTTCCAGCTACTCAGGAGGCTGAGGCAAGAAAATTGCTTGAACCTGGGAAGCGGCAGTTGCAGTGAGCCAAGATTGTGCCATAGCAATCCAGTCTGGGTGACAGAGCAAGACTGCCTCAAAAAAAAATTAGCTGGGTGTGTTGGTGCTTGCCTACAGTACCAGTTACTCAGGAGGCTGAGGTAGGATCACCTGATCCTGGGAAGTTGAGGCTGCAGTGAGCCATGGTCCCACCACTGCACTCTAGGCTGGGTGACAGAGTGAGACTCTATCTCAAAAAAAGATTTTTTTTTTTAGAGATATATGATCATAGCTCACTGTAACCTTGAACTTTTTACCTCAAGCAATCCTACCACAGCCTACAGGTGTGTGCCACCACACCTAGCTAGTTTTTAAATTTTTTTTATTTTTTGTAAAGATGGGGTCATGCTATGTTGCCCAGGCTGGTCTCAAACTCCTGATCTCAAGTGAGCCTCCTGCCTCAGCCTCCCTAACTGCTGGGATTATAGGTGTGAGCCACTGTACCTGGTTGCATTTCTTTATTTAGTTGCATCTTGATATTTTCATATCAACATACATATCCTCATTATTAACTGTTGCGTAGAATAGCATAGCGTGGGTGTAGTTTATTTAGCTATTCTTTCTTTCATGGAAACTGCGGTTGTTTCCAGTTTTTTGCTATTACCAAGAGTGTTGACAGTGAACATCCTTATCCATACCTCTTTATATATACATATGTGTATTATTTGAGCATACAGAAGTGGGATTGCTGAGCTGAAGGATATGCATTTTTAATTTAATTTTATTTTTTGAGACAGAATTTCCCTCTTGTTGCCTAGGCTGGAGGGCAATGGCATGATCTCTGAAACCTCCGCTTCCCAAGTTCAAGCGATTCTCCTGCCTCAGCCTCCCAAGTAGCTGGGACTAGAGGCGCCCACCACCATGCCCAGCTGTTTTTGTATTTTTAGTAGAGACAGGGTTTCACAATGTTGGCCAGGCTGGTGTCGAAATCCTGACCTCAGGTGATCTGCCTGTCTTGGCCTCCCAAAGTGCTGGGATTATAGGCTTGAGCCACCACTCCTGGACGCTTGTAATCTCAGCACTTTAGGAGGCCAAGGAGTGTGGATCGTGAGGTTAGGAAATCCAGACCATCTTGGCCAACATGGTGAAACCCCACCTTTACTAAAAATAGAAAAATTAGCCAGGCGTGGTGGCAGGCACCTGTAATCCCAGCTACCTGGGAGACCGAGGCAGGAGAATCGTTTGAACCCAGGAGGTGGAGGCTGCAGTGATCCAAAATCACCCACTGCACTCCAGTCTGGGCTAC